CTTTTCATTTGTCTCCCAGTTCTTTTCATTTGTCTCCCAGGCTGGGTCCCACTTCCTGCATTTGTCTCCCACTTCTTTTCACTTGTCTCCCAGGCTGGGTGGTTGTGGTCGGGTTCCCAGCTGGCTTGTTTCCCACTTCCTTTCATTTGCCTCCCACTTCTTTTCATTTGTCTCCCAGTTTTTTCAATTGTCTCCCAGGCTGGGTGCTTGTAGTCGGGTTCCCGGCCGGTCTCCCACTTCCTTTAGGCTGGGTGCTTGTGGTCGGGTTCCCGGCTGGCTTGTCTCCCACTTCCTTGCACTTGTCTCCAACTTTTGCCCCAAACAGTTTACTGTTAGGGGTTCTCAATTCTTTCTTAAGATGTGTCACTGCTGGTGTCCGCCCATTTCCACTGGCCATGTAGCATTTCTAATTTATCATTTTTCTCCCAGGTCTACTGCTGGTGTCCGCCCTTTTCCGCTGGCCATGCAGCATGTCTATTCATTTGTTTCCCGGGTCTGTCACTGGTGCTGCCGGCCTTTTCCGCTGGCCATGTAGCATTTCTATTCATTTGTCTCCCATGTTATTTCTTTCTTTTTGTCTTTCAGGTTTGGTCCATGCACTGCTGTTTTCTGCCCTGTCGGCTGGAACAGGTTCACCTGTTGCGTGACTGTCTCCGGGATTGCATTCCTGCCACACTGTGTAACACTCAGCTTTGTTTTCCTTTTCGGGCAAGCGTTGGATGAATGATCTTTCATGTCACATCCTTCGCTCCTCATGCTTTTGTTTCTTGTCCTCACGTGGTCAACTCCCCGCTGATTGAGCAGCATGACCAGCATCATGTTCGCACTTGAAGAATAATTCCCCAAAAGGTTTACTGTTAGGGCTTCTCAATTCTTTCTTAAGATGTGTCCGCCCGCTCTGTACTGCTGTGTCCGTCTCTGCCTTGCAATCCTTTACATTTGTCTCCCAGCTCTGGGCTGCTGCGGCCGCCTCTGCCTTGCAATCCTTTGTCTCCCACCTCTGGACGTCGCAAGCTCTAGTTTCGATTTTGAAAACACAAACTGTTTGGGGCCTACGGTGGTGTAATTTTGACAAGGTTTCGATGCACCATGCCTTCAGTTTTTGCAAGTCGTCTGCAAGACAGGAAGCTCCAACAGAAAGACCTTAGATGTGTCCATGAGAGTGTCTAGGATGAATTGTCTGACCTATTAATCACTGAGTCAAGTTTGGAAGTAAAGTCCAACGATCGGTGGCACATGGTGATAAAGTGGAACGACCTTGCCGACCTCAGTTTTCAGAATTGTAAGTTCCAATTATACACAACCTTTACGAATGTCCATTGTGGTTGCCATACTCTTTACAAACCATACAAACACATGTGGTCAAGGAGCAGCGGACGGATGCGCGAGCTGTGGCGGAGGAGCATGGCTCCATATTGTTTGGTGCATGGCCCAGGGTAAAGCATGGACTCTGTTGTCTCAAGAAAGGTCAGCTCGACAAGAGTATTGAGATCATTCTACAATGGAGTATGTCACAGGAAAGGCTTTGAACCTGGGTGCATGCTTGGCGGGATAGTCCAAAGTACTGTCAGAAACCTTGGCAGTTTGTAAGCCAAAACATGGGCTCCACCAACTACTTCCTAGACAAAGACAAATCGTGGCTACTTTAGGCAATAGGCTATTGCGGTAATAGGAACATTTCCTGCGAAAGAGCCATAAGGTTTGAGATCGGATTTGACAGAGGTCAGCAAGAATTGGGCACTTTTGAATGACTCAGGCCATAGCAAAGCTTCTTCAAGCATGAGTCGGTCATGGGAGGAGACGTGGGACTCTTTCTGACTCCGGTATTTTGCAGAACGGCATGTATAGTATAGGTTTCAACGATGATCTGTAGGGTGCAAGAACTCGGAGGACACAAAGTTGCCCTCTCACCCGATCCGTGCTGACCCAAATCTCAAGGCGCTCCGAAAGCTGGTTTTTGCGCCAAAGCGAGCAATGGGTTTTGAGATCCAGATTAGTCAGCTGCCACTTGGTCCAGGTCGAGAAGATGCCGACCCCCGCGAGGCGGCTTTTTGAGAAGTCGTGGCTGCAGTGTCGAACACTTGTGCGTTTGGATCACTGAAGGCGAGCAGAGGTAACTCGAAAGGCTGTCCGGTCGCTGAGTTGGGGTTGATAGCTTTTCACGATGTGTAGATGAAGGGATGAACGATGGCCCGCTTTATGCTGTCTTGAAACATTATACTGAGGTCAAAGCCGGAGTCCCTGCCATTGGCACTCTGGTTCAAGAACAGCTACAGATGAAGTGCCCTGAGTGTTTGAAGTTCACATGGGATGTTTTTTCCCAACTCTCAGCTCCAGTGTGCAAACATGGCAAAGCTGCGTTTGGTATTTTTATCAATCATCATCTCCTATGATTCATGATGCTTTAACAAGAGGAGAAGGAGTTGCTTGAGAGTTTCCAGCAACCTTGAAGAAGGTTCGACCTGACCTTGTTTGGGAATTCAACAAAGAAAGAAGTGTCAAAGAACTGAGATACCTTGTGCTCAGAATCGCCCTATTTGCTTCGAACTTAAATGTACCGGGAACATAGCCATTGGCGGGGAGGGGTAGATGAGTTCGGACTTGGTTTCATGCTCTGCTCCTGAGCTTGAGGATACCATTTAGAGGATAAAGTCTGCGCAAGGAGGTGCTGAGAATGGGATTTGTCTACCATTTGTATAGATTACATTTTTACATATTCTTACTAAAACCCCCTTTTGTGGGGGGTAGGCCATGAGGTGAGCTAAAACAGAAAGGTAGTAGGTTAAGCTAACAAGTCGCTACTAAGCTTAATTAGGAAGAAGCCTGAGCCTTAGTGATTTGGTTCCTAGGTTCTTTTGTTGGACACCTATAATTCCATGGGCTTTGTCTACAGTGCTATTTGAATACCCGGGATCACCTGTATTCTTCTGCAGCTGCTTTCTACGAGAGTGAAGCGACGATCCTTTGCTTGCGGAGGTATGGATTGTCTTTGGACATTGATGACTTTGTCCGCAAGGCTTGCAGGAACATGCTATATGGTGTCTTTTTGTGGCGGAGTGCTATTGAGTTGTAGAGTGGCCACAATCTCCAAACCAGGTGGAGAGCTTGTGCCGCGCACAACTCAACGGCGATGACTGGGATCCACTGCAAATCGCGCATTCCCAAGACTCTCTGGGCACGAGGGTTGCATAGACCTCGTTGGTCCAGAGCGGCGTAGCAAACCTGTACTGTGGATTCATCATGGATTCACCAGATGTGGAACCCCTTGTGGATTCATTAGGGTTCGGCTGTCGCATTCTCACCAGGTGTGGAACCCTTTTGCTTAAAGACTGTGACTGGACTTTGTGCCTCCTGCAAGTCACCCATTTGTCCGGGTTGATGTGAGTGAAAGAGGAGCGGTTGAGCCAAGGATCAAGGAATGGGCTTCTGTCCGCTGAGGTCTCCTGTCTAAATGGCATCAAGGACATGCGCTTTCGTACACGTGACGTCGGGAGCCTCTGAAAAGTGTGGCCCCTAGTAGCGTCCTTGCTCCTAGTAGCAAGGCCAGGAGCCACTAATATCGTCCTTGCTCCTAGTAGCGATGCCAGGAGCCCCTAGTAGCTTCTTGTTACTAGTAGCAAGTGTTGAGCTTTGCCAGTTTTCTTAAATCAATTTCAAGATGGTCTGTGCATGATTCGACTTTGAAGCCCGAATGCCGATATAATGAGCTGTTCCGAGGAAGGCAAAGGTTTCAATCCCGCCCCAGAATCCATTTCTTTTGCTTTTCCCTATTGTGAATCTCGTGAAGAGAGGGAGTAGACTCATTTGCACTTGGACTTATAAATGCCTGGCCATTCCCTGTGTAGAATGCCTGGAGTTTTGCCCTTCCTTCGACATTTCCTGACCTGTTTGGGGTTTCGAGTGGCTCCGAGTGGCTAGGCGGCGCGCATCCTGGAGTTGCGATTGGAGCCACGGAGCACCGAGTCCTTCCAGAGCTTGGCAGAGGAGGCATGAACAAGACATTCGCAGTTGTTTTGACAGGTCTTTCTTGGTTTTTCATCACTCTGCCAGATTTGTTCCGGTTTTGCATGTTTTGGTTTGAGGTCCACTCTACACTTGGGACATCGAGTGCAGTGGCTGTGGTTGCTTGGCCTCAGAAGAAAGCGCACCAAGAAGGTCTCCATTAAAGATCTGGCTCAAAGTGATAGACAAAGATGATTGGACTTTTGCCCGCCATCCTCAAGAGGTGCAGATTGGCTTTACTTGAGGTCATAAATCCCTCTGGAGGGCCACGTGCTGCTGTAGCGGTCTTTCGTGAGGACTTAGAAATGATCAAGATCTTAGCTGTCTGTTGCAAGCATTTGTGTGCTGGTAAGCTTAATTTAAGGACTATGCTCATCCTCAGAGTGCTTTGGTGGGACGTTGCCTGAGGCTTAATGTATGCTTTTAGTGCTGTGGACACAGTATTTGAGCTCAGAAACAAGATCAGGTGCTGACTTGTCATCAGAGCCACTCATTACCTTCACCTCTGGTCAACTTGATTACGCCTCTTGGCCGAGCAAGCCCGGAGCAAGGACGCCACTAGGGCCACTAGGGGCTCCTGGCCTTACTACTAGGAGCAAGAAGCTACTAGGAACAAAGGGCATCGCTACTAGGAGCAAGGACGCTACCCTTTTCCGAACAAAAGTGCCCAAGAACCGCCTTTGAGGCCTTGATGCTTGGTGTGTCGATCGCAGAGGCTGCTGGAGGGTATGGGGATAATTCCCTCATTATAGCAATTCCTTGGATCTATTTGGTCACAGTTCCTCACCTGTGAAAAAAGAGTTTGCTTGCAGTCAGCGCAAGTGACCCATTTTTCACCATGGTGACATCCACCGGAGGGTTGTCGTCAGAGGTGCTTCGATTGGAGGGCGAAGCTGAAGCCTCACCGAGCCTCCGCGCGGAGTGCCCCTGCGAGTGTCGGCAGGGCTTTTGCTTGTCCAAAAACAGAAAATCAATTTTGGAAGTGGATGAATTTGATGCCTATGTAGACCAATATGAGCCAATATGACCATGCTTCATTTTGCAGCGACGGTCCCTGAGTCCTTCACAATAGGCCCCATGTGCCTCCCCAACAGATGATGAGCGAAAAGCATCCAATGCGCTTCTTGCGGGAGGTATCTGAGCTTGAAAGGTTTGAAGGCTGAGGAGCCAAAGTTAGACTTGAATCCGCCAGTCTGGAGCTCAAGCCGTACAGAAAGTATCGGTCATTGAAACAATTTGAAGATGTTTGCATTCTCTTCTCCAATTCAAACTCCGGATCGTTGCAGGTGGAGCAACACGGCCAGATCCGCAGCATCTTCACAAAAAAGTCAGCCAGTTTTTGTCTTCATCCTAGGTCGGCAAGGTCTGGCTGATGCGCTTTTGGCTGGGGTGCCACAGTTGTGCCGCCTGCCAGTGCAGTGCCGCAGATAAGCAGGGAGTGGAACATCTGCAGGATTTGAAGCAAATGGATAGCTCTATGTTATTTTCCAGGGAGCATGCTGTGCATCGGTAGTTGTTTTCAAGGAAAGACGAGCAGCAGAAGCTTCACAGCCCAGCGTTGCAGTGGCCTCACCTGCAGCAGCTACGGTGGAACGGTAGGACCTAAATAAAACATATTGTTGCAGAGTTTTGAATGACGACAGTGCAACTGAACTGGGTATGAGACGGCGTGAGCATGAGATGGCATGAGCAAACCATGTGAATTGCCGCAATCCAGGTGAGCATGGCCATGGACTGGTTGTGGTCCGGAGGCATGGGACCTCTGGCAGTTTCGGTTGTTAGTGATGGTGGAGAGCACAATTGAGCGGGGAGTGTATCGCAATAGGTCTGGAAGTACGAAGGTATTGAAGCTTCTTGCTCCCAGTAGCGATGCCCTTTGCTACTAGTAGCGATGCACTTGTTACTAGTAGCTTCTTGCTACTAGTAGTAGGGCCAGGAGCTACTGGTAGCTTCTTGCTCCTAGTAGCGATGCCCTTTGTTACTAGTAGCGATGCACTTGTTACTAGTAGCTTCTTGTTGCTAGTAGTATGGCCAGGAGCTACTGGTAGCTTCTTGCTCCCAGTAGCGATGCCCTTTGCTACTAGTAGCGATGCACTCGTTACTAGTAGCTTCTTGTTACTAGTAGTAAGGCCAGGAGCTACTGGTAGCTTCTTGCTCCTAGTAGCGATGCCCTTTGTTACTAGTAGCGATGCACTTGTTACTAGTAGCTTCTTGTTGCTAGTAGTATGGCCAGGAGCTACTGGTAGCTTCTTGCTCCCAGTAGCGATGCCCTTTGCTACTAGTAGCGATGCACTTGTTACTAGTAGCTTCTTGTTACTAGTAGTAAGGCCACAAGCTACTGGTAGCTTCTTGCTCCTAGTAGCGATGCACTTGTTACTCTGGTCGTTGACATTCACGGTGACGCAAGACTCGCAGGACGCTCCTCCTCCTGGATGTCCGCCTCGCATCGCCCGGCGAGGACCGGGACCAGTGCCGGGATCTCAGACAAAACATAGACTTTTCCTTTTTGTTTTCTTCTTGTCTTTGGACCTTTAGACTATTATTATCTTCGTTTTTGAGGTGGTGTGTCCTCTCATTTCGAGGCATACCCCCCTGTAAAATCAAGGACTCTATAGACAAAAGTGAGATAAAACAAGGGATAATGATTGGCACGATCCAAGAAAGGCACAAGTTTGTTAAGTCAAGTTAAGTCTGTCTGGTACCAACAAGAAATTGGTAGAACACAATATAGTATATATCACGAAAGCCAGCCGATAGGCAAGGCTTGAGTTCTTAGGGTGAGCGAAGTGAATAAAGGGGGTGTGGGGGGGGGTTGGTCGCGCAGAGGCCACTTTTGGGAGGTCGAACCTTGAGCCTGGTGGGGGAGAGCGTTCAAAAGTAGGGTCAGGAAAGCATCGAAAAAGTGGTTTGGTGATGGAAGTGATGTAAATGACACCGAGTAGTGCATCATTAGCATCATGAAGGGGTCTGGAGACAATTTTTCTAGTCCTGAGCAGGGCATAGGGACCCAAGAAGGACCAAGCAACAAAGCGTGAACGCTCTGGGAGCGAACGATGTGAGTATGTCCAGTTGGGCGAGGGTGAACTCAAGGCAGGGTGAACGAAGGGTGTGTGGGGCGGGTGGTCGCGCAGAGGCCATTTTTGGGAGGTCGAACCTTGACTCCGATCTTGATCTCAGTCGCAATGATACCAGCTCCACGAAGCTACAAGCTTTCAACTATAGGTGCTCTGCTATTTTTTTTCCTCCCGGCCTGCTCTCTATAGGGTTTCGCATTGATGCACGATACCCGAAACACATTTCAACACAACCACAAAAACCATTTCGGGCATCATTTCTCCTGGTGTTCACTGACTTTTATTTGCACGGATTCTCAAATAGAACACCAACAAGGGACGCTCCAGAAGGCGCTGACCAAGCTATATAAATCAAGAATATTAAAAACATTCAACACTTCATGCTGTGCTCCGATCTTCATCTACGTTGCAGTGATACCAGCTCCACGAAAACTGCAACCATTCAAGAATGAGTGCTCTCCTCTTTTTTTCTCCCAGCCCTGCTCTTTATAGGGCTTCGCATTGATGCACGATGCCCGAAGCACAATTGAAAACAACCAAAAACCACCTTTCGGGCATCCTTCTCCTGGTCTTCACTGGTGTTTATTTTTACACCGATTCTCAAATAGACCACCAAACAGGGACGCTCCAAAGAGCACCGCGCCAGGAAAATCCAGAAAACCTAAAACATTCAACACTTCATGCTGTGCTCCGATCTTGATGATCTACTCCACGTTGATACAAGCTCCACGACAGCTACAGGCATTCAGCAAAAAGTGCTCCGCTATTTTTTCCTCCCAGTCTTGCACTACCATATTGGTCTCTCGCTGGCTTTCGTCCTCTCCTTTCTCAGGTATATATACACATACATACATGTACACCCATAGTTTCCAATTGAGAACATGCCTGTAGGCTAATCAGTGACAGGATCAAAACAATGGGTAACTAGCCAGAAGTGTCGTTCAGCTGCCTCCCTCCTGGTCCCTCCACCGTTTGGGTAGGGCACAAGCAGCCACCCACCGCAGCCCACCTGCGGCTTCTGGAGGCTCCTCCATCACAAGGACGCCATAGCGTCCAGTTGGCTCCTGATTTCGGGTAAGGAGTCACATCAAGGCGTGAGAGAGAGAGAGAGAGACACAGACAGAGAGAGATAAAAGGAAGGAAGGAAGGAGGTCCAGTCAGGTAGCTCAGTTGCCTTGTCGCTATGGTTTGGTTCAGCTGCGCTGACAGACTGGGACGCAGAAGGGCTTGAATCCCTTGAGGGGATGCCTCCGTGAGACTTTGGTGTGAAGAAAGAATACAAATGTGTACCGAGCAAACAATATAAACATAGCACTATATATATATATTATAACTTCCAGTCATTGAGCAGTAGATCCATGCTTTGTTGGTGGGTTTGCAGAGACTTTGCGACACTCCAGTCTACCTACATACCCTCCCGCAAATCTCGAAATGAAGAAGAGTCCCAAATCCCATGGGTTGAGTTTTGAGTCTGCTTGCTACCTGTTTTTGAGTTGAACCCGTTTGAGGTCGACTGTTGGAGAGGCCAAGCTGAATTTGAAGGCATCTCCCTGCTGCAGCCTCTGCAGTGTTTTTCTTTGTTTGGTGTTATGTTCGAGTCCGAATGAAGGCTTGGTATGAGTGTCACCGCTCGCTGCTCTTATGGAGGTTCCGCGAAAGACGTCTCCGACAGGGAGATTCGGCTACAGCCCAGGCGAGAGCTGTTCCAAAGCGTTTGGAGGGATACCAAAATCCTAAAATGATGGGCTATCCGGCCATCCGAGGGGGTTTTCTCGCAACAGCTACCCGCAGTTCTAAGAAAGATAGGTAAAACCAGAGAAAGGAGCTGAGCTAGTCAGTTCCTGGCGAGAAGTTGTGGCCAGTATCCGAGTTGGCTCAGTGTCTAGAGGATCATCGACTTGGAGAACTAGGCATGTGCCCATGTGTTGAGGAAACATTCCTCTTTGTGGGGGGAATGTTCCACTTTGTCACTTGTCTTCGTTTCGAAGGAATATCAACATTGTTCCCCAATAGCCATGCTATGGGGTCTTGCAAAACTAATAGGCGGACGGGCGCCGTCGGGTCACCGTCAGAGCTGGTGGGCGGATGGTGTCCCGGTCATGTTTTGATGGCGTCCGGGTCATGTGATGCTGGTGTCCCGGTTATGCTTTGATGGTGTCCCGATCATGTTTTGATTGTGACCCAGTCATGTTGTGATGGTGTCCCGGTCCTGTTTTGATGGTGTCCCGGTCATGTTT